GCGCGATTCCTCAGTTTGCGGACTTAAATAGCAACCCGCATGCGCACAAAACGTCCATCATCTGCTGCGTCCCCCCCAACACGGAAAACAAAACAAAACAAAACGAAAGTAAATTCGAAGAAACATATATATATATATATATACATATACATACACACACACGTGTGTGTGCGCGTGTGTGTGTGTGTGCGTGTGTGTGTGTGTGTGTGTGTGTGTGTTGAAGTGCTGCCAGCCTATAGAAATCTACTTCCAGAACAATTTGTCATAATTTCCACATTTTTATCCCAAGAACATAACAGGATTACTGGTGTTTCATGGCTCAGACCACCCCTCTGTAGATGATAATATTTTCATGAAGTTGTATCATTTTACCCTTTATTGAGCTTACCATTCCCCCAACATATTTTTTGACATTCTATTCATATTGCATTTGATCCAAAATGAAAATTACAACTGAATGTGCTCTCAAGATCGCAATCAGTGTTGTTTTGAACAAGTATGAGAATATAAATAGTTCAAATGGACAAAAAATAACCAATAGGAAAACATCTATAACATGGATTGAGAAGCTTCACACAAGGCAGATTAATGAAACACGATTAAATCAACATTTAGGTGGCTAACACAGTACTTCCCATTTTCTAATTTGAAACTAAGTCACACAATCTCCAGTGTACTACTTGGCATACTGACGCGAACTTCACGATCGACTCACGGTGACAGGCACGTTATAGAACGTCACACAAAAACAAATATTGTGCTGAAATATTGTGGCCTTCTGAGGACTTGACAATGTCATTCAAGAAGTGGCATTCCCACAATGCTTTGCTGCAGTTGTAGTTAAGACTTGTGAATGTGTTTATTGACAAATGTGTTGTTGTGTCAAGGCAGTGTATAGTATAGTATAGTATAGTATGGTGTAGTATAGATAAAGGGGTGTTGTTTCTAGTTGATTGGCTGGCAACCAGTTCAGGGTGTACCCCGCCTACTGCCCAAAAGACAACTGGGAGAGGCTCCAGCACGTCCGAGACCCTCTTGAGAATGAGCAGTTGGGCTGGATGGACGTTGCTCGTTTTGTGTTAAATTATTGCTACTGTTGGTATTAACTTGTGCTGACACCGTAAGTAGCAAAGTCGGTCAGTCAGTCAGTGCTGCTGTGTATATACAGTCAAGTCTATAAATATTTGGACATTGACACAATTTTCAGCACTCCAGCTCTCTATAACACCACAAGGAATTTGAAATGAAACAATCAGGATGTGCTTGAACTGCAGATCGAGCTTTCATTTGAGGCTATTTACATTCAAGCCATTTTTTATTCTTTTTTTTTTTTTTTAATGTGCCTACCACTTTTTAAGGCTCCAGAAGTATTTTGACAAACTAACATAAATCATCAATCAAATTGTCACTTTTCAATACTTTGTGTGGAAATCCTTTGCAAACAAGGACAGCCTGAAGTCTCGAACCGGAGGACATCACCAGATGCTGGGTTTCCCAGTTCCTGCTTGTTCTTCGGGCATTTTCCTTTCAATTTTGTCTTCTGCAACTGAAATGCATGTTCAGACGGATTCAGGTCAGGCGATTGACTTGGCCGGTGCAGAACATTCCACTTCTTTGCCTTTAAAAAAATTCTTTGGTTGCTTTCGCACTTTGATTTGGTTGTAAATACCCTCAAATTAACCTTTTCATGCGCCCAGTAACCTGATAACATGATAAGCTGTCCACTGAAGGAACCGCTGCCCCTGAAAGGGTTAAAGCTAGAGTATGCTGAAAATTGTATTTATGGACCTGACTGTACTTCAATGTCCAATTTTAACAATGCCATGTACAGGTGAACCTCTACTTCTAGTGAGGAAGATCGTGAGTCTTGCATCAGATGCTTTCATTGTAGATTTGCTAATGATCTTGAATGTTGCGTGACTGAAAAAGACATGAAATGCATTGATTCGGCAGACCCCAAACCATGACCCCCGTATTGAATGCTTTGATACAGGCACATATAAAACCCCTTAACCTCACTTCTTCACGAGGGTTGCAAGCGTGCTGGAGCCTATCCTGGCTGACTTCAGGCAGTAGGCGGGGGACACCCTGAACTGGTTGCCAGCCAATCGCAAGGCACGCGTAGTCAAACAACCATTCACAATCACACCTAGGGACTATCCGTGCGGGCACACGCGCGCGCGCGCGCGCGCGCGCAGAGGTCAGGATATTGTGTAAGAATATATAGCTAGAAAAAGTGGAACAATGTCTTTCTCAGTTGAGAAATCCTAAATGTGTGCACCTTATTTCCACAGATTGCCAATCACAGTGGCTATGTGCAGGTGGACTGGAAAAAAGTAGAGAATGATGTCAACAAAGCAAAGAAACACCTGAAGAAGAAAGCGAACAAAGCAGCCCCTGAACTCAACACATTCATTGAGGAGGTAAAGGTATCTGTTAAAAGAAAAGCTGTCTTTCATGCTTGTTCCTGTTACAGAATCTTATTTTTCTATAGATTGGAAAACAGTTTTGTCCCAATTGAATGCACCACACCCTCCTTTATGAAAATGTCTTTATTGTGATGGGAAAATTAGACCAAGATAGATTTGTTTCATATCTTTTCCCACCTTTTAATGTGAACTGTAATGCTAACAAATTTAACTGAAAAGCAACTTTTTGGGTCAGGCAGGGGGCATAGGCGTGAGTTTAAAAAAAAAACAATAATTTATGATCCAATTTAGACAAGTAAAATCTTGACTAAACATGAATAACAAAAATGGGATGAGATTTTTTTGCGCAACAATGCACATACTTAACTGTACTGCTCATGCCACAAAAAGCATGTTCCTTACGAATGGTGCGTCACTTCAAGGGGGAATTTGCGGTTTAAAAAAAAAGGCAACTGCACTTTTGTCATATCTTAAAACTGCCTGTATGACCAGATAATGTTGAATAATATTAAAATGATCTTTTGAAAAATAACCCCTTAACAGCCTTTAAATTTGATTTTATTTTAATTATATTGGACTCCCGCAAACTCATGCTTCGTCACCGCATTCACATATTTGTTAATTTTTATAACATTTTCAGAAACAATTTTGTTCGGTGGGGAAGTGCAACCCCTGTTTTTGCAACGTTACAAACTCATGTTGGTGGCTTTGTTTTTGGACGTTTTTTGAAAAAGCGTGGGGTGGGGGTGAAGTAAAGTGAGGGTCCATTGAAATCCCAAACTCCCCCTTGAACAAAAGAAGTAAAACAGAAATCCATCAGGCTCAATTTGTTTTATGTTTGGCATTATGCTCAATTTTTAGATTTCTATTTGTCTTTCTTCATCCACTGTGCTTATTTGTAATGATTTCCTCCCCTATCACACAGGCCACAGATTTTATCAAGAGAAACATCGTCTTGTCCAGTGGTTTCGTTGGAGGATTTTTCCTGGGTTTGGCCTCCTAAAAGACACTGACTGCACTCTATCAGTCAGAGTAGATCATTTTTGTCTCCATCATTTACATCTCCTCCCACTTTCTGAATTAATGACGGACATCATTGTGAGCGTTGGATCGTGATAGTTTGAGTTATATATTTACATTTATGGTTGAAAATTACCCAAGTTAACACTCATCCTTAGCCATGTGTGTTTGAGATGCTGGATTATATTGTGGACTTAATCCCAAATATTGGTCCACTGCTGTTTTATGTAAAAATGTGTCTAGCCTCATATGCATGAAAACCCGGACCCCAGAGGCCACAGCAGCCTCACCAGCGAACGTTATCTGATTGTTGCACATTTTTGCAACATCTTAACCTTCTTTCTTGATTTGGATTATCATGTTGCAACGCATATTCGATACATACTCTTAATCACCTCACGACTGTGAAACTAGCAGCGGGACCGACAGACCAAATTACATGCATAAATACCATATCCCGATTAGCTCAATGTACTGTCCATACTGAAGTCGGACCATGGGGTCGCCCCCTCTAAAATAAGTTGAACAGGTTTCGTAGGCTACTTTAACAAAGATTTGGTCCATTTACTGTCTCTGTTGTGAGTGCATTAATGAATCGCTCCCTGTAACTGTGGGCCGTTCCCCTGATGAAAACAAAGGAGAGAAAATAACGAATCAATAGCACTGAATTGGCCCTGAAGGGCTGCCGGTGCGCCTGGCATTTATTTTGCCCACTGTACGATGGCCAGTCCAGTCCAGCTCATGTGCCCAACACAAGAAGTGGCATTACAAATATATGTCGTGACTTCTGGATTGTCTCGAGTTGCCACTGTGAATCACTCACATAACTTGCTTGGCATTTCTATGCCAGTTACTCTTCCTGTCACAACCCAAGCCCACTCATTTATTCCCTTTTTTTTTAATCCAGGAATGAAATCAGCAGTAGCTCAGTATTGTTTGGGATACTGGCCAGGAGTTGAAACACTCCTTCACAAATCTACTGCGTGCAACTATTAGTATTTTTTTTTATCTTTATCGCCTTGCAAATTCATGGAAGAATGAGAAGCTCTGGTTGTCATCAAGAGTAAGAGCGTAGTGACTGACTGTGTCATGAATTTACTGTAGTAGAATTTAAACTTGACATTCACACATTACAAACTGAAATAGGACATCCATTTTTGCTTTTTGCCTTAATTTATTGTTTTTGTACAGTATGCATTTGGGTATGGGTCGATGTAAACTGCCTGTTTTTATTGTTGACATTTAAACCGTAACATTTTGTTGGGCTCCTTATTTCGTCTTTTTTTTTGTATTAAGATGGACAAATTATATAATGGACTTGTGACATCCGTATTAAAGACTATTCAATGCTGACTGTTTGTGTACTTGTGTAAAAGCCAGGAAGAAGCTAATTACTAAACCACATGTTGCAACACAAACTGATTGTGTTCAGTGTTCTGCATGATGATGTACAATATTTTGAAAGAAAACCTTTAGCTTTTATTATAGCTATGTTAGCCATAAAAATAACAGCAAAATAACTCATGAATATACAATTATACAGTACCTGGCAAAATGTCAAAACATTGGTTGCTTCAGCCAAACATGACCACTTAAATAGTGAAGAGAAATTTTGTGGATGGGCATCAATGTTTGCTTGTTTTCTTGTGAGCAAGCAGGCTGCGTCTTGGTTTATGAAGAATAATAAACAGGCTGAAGGTTGTCATGATTCTGGAGGGTGGACTCTCATTGTTGAGGATTCAAACTCTTAACATAAATGTATGTCCTCTCACATTTATACAGATCCTCATTAAAATGGAAAGCTTTCCTCGGCCACCCCTCGACAAAGTTCTCAGGCCTGTTGTGTAAAAGGTAATGGAAAAAAAAACGCTGTCTCACAGCTTGGGTGGACAGCAAATAAAACGCGCTTATTTACAATCATTTTACAGATAAAATCAAAGACTACAATCCCAAGGTTTAAAAGAGCAAGCTGAGTGAATTAGACAATTTACTCTGCTTCATGACGGGCCCGTTAAATGGGCATTTTGAGGAGGGCACACTCTGTTAGCAGCGTCAGTGTGGTGGTCATGCATTTGCTGTTGGAGATCTGAAACAAATGAAACAAAAGCACAGAAATATTAACTGCACGCCTTATTTTTTGTTGGACACACAAATGAAAATGCTGTTTCAGATGAAAGTACCTTAATCTGGCCACGACATTTGGCTGAGCCCAGGGCTGTGGACACAGAGCTCAGGCTCCCCGCTGATAGATCCACCTTGAAGAGCCGATAGAAGTAGCCCATCAGCCCCTTCATGAGCCTCATCACATCGTCTATATCAATGACTTTGTTTTCTTTCACCAATTCTGGCTGATCTCCTTTTACACTGCACCACAGCTCCCAAGCATCGACAGGATTTACAGCATAGGAGACCTGAAGTAGAGGCTGAACTGGAAGAGTCCAAATCATTTGGAGTTGCTTGATATTGGACTCGGCATGGTAGTTTGTCCATAATGCCACCAACCACTGCAAGCTGATGTGGTTGATCTCCAACGACCCAAAGCAGCAGTCAAAGTTCTTCTGGAACCAGGATTTCACCAAAGCAGTGAGTGCCTCTGTCCCGCTGCTGCCAAATAGTGGTAGAGAAATAAACTCTTTTGGGAGTGAGTTAATGTAGTCACGGTTGCCATTGACACATGCAAGCCAGCCCTTCCATACTGGCTTCTGATGTTCATTCTGGCCGGCAAAGAAGGACTTTGAGTAGATCTGTAGTAGGAGACAATGGAAGAATATTCTAAAGGATCTTGCAAATGTATTGACATCTGTCTGAGTATAAGATCCACAAGCCAGCGCTCACCTGTATTAAAATTGTCTCAGCATCGTAATCTGTTTCAACCAGGCCATGAACCACGGAGAAGGAGACCTTGAAGTTTTGTGTAGCTCCATCCTCCACTTGCTCCTTCTCTGCAGCCATAAATGCAGACAGTTGCCTGGAGTAGCTCTTCAGCTGGGTATAGCGGAATTGGTAGAGGGGTGTGACATAGGACAGCTGCCATTCTGTTTTCATCAGTGAAGCCAACTGTCTGGGATCCACCTTATCCTGATAAAAGTGTAGGGGACATGACCCATTAATGATAACCTGTCTCTCTCTCATCAAGCGAGAAACGACTTGGGATGACTCACAAGGATATTGTCAGACTTTGGTGCTGTCCTGCTGGTGTTGAGCCACAATGATGTCAGTGCCCTCGTCAAGCAGAGACGTGAAGCCGCCGTCATGCTCTGGTAGGACTGTCGGTAGCTCTTAATTTTACTCTTTCTCTGGACAACACTGTTGGGGGTTCTTGCCACACTGGAAAACAGATTTTTCAATGTACAGTATTTGAAGAACTTAATGGCGAAGCAGGACATGCACAGCGAAACTAGAGACGCATATCTCACAAAACATCTTGCAATTTAAAATGGTTCAAGAGAAATCAGGTTTTAACGATAAGGCTGGTAATGGTCCGAACAGTGAATTATATATCTTACAGTATCTTTTTGTTTGAATAACTTTCGGCGTAGGTTGTAAACTCAAGTATTGGTTAAAATACTTGGGCAAGGGAAATGACTTCTTTCATGTAAGGATATCTAAAATGACATGGTGATGACACGTAAAGGTTAGTCAGCCCTTAAGACCTTATTTTAAATGCATTTATGGGTAAATTTTGTCTTTTGAAAACACAAAAAATAACAGGTACGGAATCTTACATTGACCGCGGACCCTTATAAGGAGGGGTTCGACCTTTGTGCGAAAAATAGTAGCATCAAGTCAAGTACAAGTTTACTGTCATACTTTGTCCTTACATTGTCAAGCATATCCCACATTGCTTCGCCACCGACCATAGCGATAGGCTGTTTCCCTTTTCTTTGCAAACATCAGCTCGTAGTTTTGTTAAATGTAACTCTAAATTTGTTTCCAAAATTAGAAGTTTTTGGTGGACTTTGACAATCAGAAGCAATGGAGAAGTACGGTTCTGATTGGTCTATCACTGGAGCGAGAAATTCTGGGTCAGCTGTGAATCATCTATTTTACTGATTACAGTAGGGTCGCCGTGAATAGGTTATTTTCCCGTGATGTGTAGGCTACCGTGTTACGGTTCTACTGGCTTCCACATAAACTGGGGCTTGATTCCAGCCGTGGTCCTTTGGGGAATGTCAGTTCAGTAACTTTCAGTTGCCGAGTCATAACCTTGTTTATTTGATTTTATACAGGTCAAACTCTTGAACTTTTATTAATTGGAACCCCAACCTCATTAGATTAATTTCACCTCTTTATTGCTGAACCCCTATTTATCCTTACCCTAACTATAACCTTTTATTTTGGGGGCCCTTATCATTTTTCCAATTAGTTTTGTGTTTCACAAACCACATCGAAATTGTTCACCTGAAAAACTGTTCACTTCAACACACACGTGAAACAAAAAGGCCCGTTTACAGTCCCCGACTGGTTGCAAAAAATTGTAAACATACTAAGATTAGAATAAAATAAAATGGTACGTTGCGGTATTTGAAGCACCGACTGGCTGCAAAAAAATTGTAAACATACTAAGATTAAAATAAAATAAATAGGTACGGTGGGGTATTTGAACCACCGATGCGATGAATTAAAGCATCACCTTCAGGGCGATGGTTCGACCCACAACCGAGTATACTTTCTCTGGCACAGTCTTTGTATTTGTAGTTCTCATGCGGTTCATGGCAAAATAACCACTGTATATTTTGTCTTCACTGGAAAAAAAAAACAGCAAATAGAGAGTCTTTCCTTAGAGCGCGGACAGTTTTATTACAAACCCATACAAATGGATTCGCTCTGAACGGCGTCACGTCCCTAAACAAACAAAGACTCCACAATCCAGAATTTGCTATGATTTATACACACGGGAAACTGGGCAAAATGATTTAGAGACGAAGGCACTGCTCAACGATGTAAACACCGTCGCTACACGATTACCTTTTTTGTCTGGCGGGTACCATCTTTGCCACTCCGATCCAAACAGAAGAGCGCCGGAAACACATTTGAACACCGCGCCCGCATTTTTTTCTTCTTTCATTTTCTTCGTCGTTGTTGGCAGGAAACTGTCAGTCACATTACCGCCATCTACTGCTAAGGAGTGTGAACGAGGTATCCCGTCAAACTGTCGCACTCAGGAGAGGAGGGAAATAATAGATAAATAAGGAAAACTAACTACGCAACTCTAAGATTCTCCCAACCAAATATTTAGTCTTTAACTATTTGAACTAAATCCACTTTAAAACTGCAGTTTCCATTTCTTTTTTCCAATAGATTTATCATTTGTCTTATCTCCTTGTCATATTCTTTACAACGCAGAATGACATATTATAGTCTCTAAACCTCTTCTTCTCTGATAGTTTGTTGCAATTCAAGCATATCAGTACAAAGTTTAATGTGCATGTTTCAGCACCGTGCTCTTTGTCCACAAAATGAAAAGCACAGGTACAAAGTAGTGGTCTTTTCAAATAAAGATTTTCAGACAAGGGTCGCTGATGGTGTAGTGGTTCACTCTCCTAATTTGTGTGTGGGCAGCATGAGATCGGTGATGGTGTGGATGTGGGTGTGAATGGTTGTTCTTCTCTATATGTGATCTATGACCTATTTTTAAATTTTTTTCTACTTTCTTCCCTCCAAATTTTCCTGCTGTAAACTGCGAATTTCTCCATTGTGAGACAAATAAAGGTTTTCTTATCTTTTCTTATCTTAAGACTGTCTGGCGACCAGTTCGGGGTGTAGTCCACCTTCTGTCCAAAGTCAGCTGGGATGGCTCCAGCACCTCCTCGTGACCCTGTTCTGGATAAGTGGTTTGGATAATAGATGGATTTCTTTTTGAGATTCTCATTCCTACATAAGCGCTGGAAGCTGTCATGACAGACTCCCCATCCAGGCAGCCAGTTCAAAATGTTGCTCTTGCAGTCACAGATTCAACTTCTTCTGCGTGTTATTACAACTGCCAGTTTCTCACTTCAAAACTCAAACTTTCACCTCCAAAAGAGCAATCTCAAAGCATTCAAAAATATAAACACAATACACAGCATTACACACTACAGCAAAACAATTGAAAACGCAATGCTCAATTTGTGAGATGGTTCTTTGTTTCATAACTGCCAATGCATATTTAAAAAAACTTTACAGTAACAGATCTTCTTAGATCTCTGTAGAGCAGAGGTCTCAAACTCAGGTCCTGGAGGGCCACTGTCCTGCATGTTTTCCAAGTCTCCCTGTTGCAACACACCTGATTCAAATGAACAGGTTCAATGTCAGGCTTCCACAGAGCTTGCTGATGATCTGATCATTTGAATCAGGTGTGTTGCAACAGGGAGACTTGGAAAACATGCAGGACAGCGGCCCTCCAGGACCGGAGTTTGAGACCCCTGCTGTAGAGGATTAGGCATTTAGATTTGTGAGTTTCATATAGAGTACAAATCTATAGAAAATACTGCATATACACTACTGTAACACAACTCAATGCAGAACCAGAATCTATCTCACACAACAGTATTCTTGAAAACATGTTCAGGGTGTGAAGTTTATTTTTATTTACTTTATTCACACCACAATCACTGTGCAGTACCATGTCCCTGAGCTGCATCAGACCACATTACGTCATCCACATCGCAGGCTATATTTTCTCTTGCCAGGCACCATGGGAAAAACGTCCTACAACGGCGACTTCATCCTTGGAAGGCCTCCACTGGGATGTCAACAGAGGCCAGTTCCATTGCCCTTCGGTGAACCGACTCAAGTTTGGACAGACTCTTAGTCCTGCTTCAGCCTTTGTCATGCCATGCACAATGACATGGTCAATGACTGTTGCTCGCATCTCATCCGTAACGATGGACTTGCCCCCCTTCCTGGGTCCCACACCCGGTATGACTCTCGCTGGTGCCTCGCAAGGTTCACACCCAGTGCGGGCCCCGGAAGAGCCCTCACCTGATTATTGTTTAAGAGGGGTTCTGGGGCGACTACTCCCATTCCTCTCCGTTCCAACGGGGCGAGCGCTGGGCGCCTCCCCTTCCGGTGAGACCCCTCTTCCTTCCCCGCCGTCTGGTGGGCATTTAGCCGCGTCACGGGCCCAAGATCCCCGGTGCTCCCCCCTTCGCGCCACTCGGAGGCATCCCACCATGCGAGGCCTACTTCTGTCTATGTTCATCTTCATCTTCTTCATCTTCTTCTCCTTCTTGGTTCATTGGCAGATTACAGCTCTTTGATGCATACCATCACCTACTATGCAGGGAGCGCAACGCGTTTTCATATATTGTCAATGGGAGCAACCCTGCTTGTACTCAGTCTCGTGAACAAACATGAGACAGGCGGGGTGTATTTCTGTCACTTGTCAACAAAACAGGCATCTGTCAGTGCTGGACTGAGATGTACGTTGGCACTTGACCCAGTAACGAATGAAAATCCACCTCCATCAGTACTTACTCCGTCTTTACACCTTTATGTCTTTATTTACACCCGCAGCGGCTCCTCTTGTTGTCTTGAGAGGGAAGACATTTATTTCATCTGTGCTGTATACATACAGCACATTTGACAATAAAGTTGTACTTGACTTGACTTGACTTTTATTTATTTTATTTTTTTTAGCTTCCCATCATTCGTCAATTGTCAGCAAAATGGTTGTCCATCAGTACTGATAGAATGCCCATTTCTGGTAAGGACAATGACACTCGATCAAAAAACGATGCTCGAAGATGATATATCTCACTCCTCACTCGTGTCACTACAATTTAAGATTGCTCGATCTGACTTTATGATATGTCCATAAGAGTGATCAAACTATGAGACATGCTTTGTCACATTCAAAAACATACATGACAGGTTAATGGAACACTCAAAATTGTCCCGAGGTGTGATTGTGAGTGCGAATAATTGTTCGTCTATGTGCCCTGCGATTGGCTGGCAACCAGTTCAGGGTGTACCCCACCATACTGAGGAAGTATGGCCTGCCACAGGAGGTGCTAAGACAGTTCTACACGGCAGTCATCGAATCAATCCTGTGTTCTTCCATCACGGTTTGGTTTGGGGCTGCCACAAAAAAAGGACAAAATCCGACTGCAACGGACAGTTAGGACGGCGGAAAAAATCATTGGCACCACCCTACCCACTCTTGAGGACTTGTACACCGCAAGAACCAAGACAAGGGCTCGGAAAATCCTACTGGATCCCCGCACCCTTGTCCAGCTACTCTCCTCAGGCAGGCGCTACCGATCCATGCGCACCAAATCCAGCAGACACTTAAACAGCTTCTTCCCTCTAGCCATTAACTCCCTAAACAGGAATCCAAATCTATCTGTATAGTGGCGCTTTGCAATTTGGCACTGAAATGTATTTCAGTGAGAGCCATATATGTGTATGTGTGTGTGTATATATATATAAACTATTTTAAAAGTGATTTCACCTAAATGTCAGTATAATAAGCCTCTGAATGTATTTTTTAAAATAATTTTGTGATAATACTCACCATTAATGTGAATGGTTTTCCGTTCCTCACAATTGCTAAAAATCCAGCAAAACTATCGGAATGAAAGTCATCTTGCCGGGTCCATACGCGAAGTTACTGCTGGCTAGCTTGCACACTGCTCACTAGCTTGCTCGCTTCCTTTCGGCTATCTCTCGCACAGTGTTTTGATGTGAACGTAGCATGGGGCGTGTCAAAGTGCCGCTCTGCATTCGATCGTTTCATCGATGGTATTTTGACATTGCAAATCAGACACACCGCAGAACCCGTTCTCTCCACAAAGGCGAATCCTTCGGTCCATTCGTCCTGAAGTCTACCAAACTCGTCATCTTTTTTTCTTTTCGCCATCTTATTCGCTAAGGATTAGCTTTGAGCTAATGGTCGAGCGGGTTGATTCAAAAGGGGGCGTATACCTGTTTCCACAGCAACGCGAGCCATAGGTTCCCGACCCCTGCTTTAGAGTGATCAAGGACATCTGAATAATTGCACACTGGGTGGTACCACCGCACAACGGTACCCTTATATTACGGAATATCTTTCCATACTTATTTGTCATGTCCTTGTTTGTGATGATACTCGTGCAGCGTGTTCTACCGGGGACAAATTCCTTGTGTGTTCTACATACTTGGCCAATAAAGATGATTCTGATTCTGATTATATACCTACTGCCTGCCCGAAGACAGCTGGGATAGACTCCAGCACGCCTGTGACACCCGTGAGGAAAAGCACTATGACTAACAGGTTGGAAAGGAGTTCAACAGCGGTGAATAGCACCCAACAGGGTAAAATTACCAACACTGATGGTAGTGTGCTTTTGTTTTTTTCATTTAAATTAACCGTTGCTCTGTGAATTAACACGTTTAAGGTCGATATCGGTTTCCAGAAAATCTTCAACTCATTAATATAAGTACTTCAGAGGGCAAAATTACCACAGGTGGAATACAATACAGTATTTGTGGAACTTAATCCATCCATCCATCCATTTTCAACACCGCTTATCCTGAACACGGTGACGAGGAGTTGCTGGAACCTATCCCATCTGTCTTTGAGCGGAAGGCATATTACACCATGAGCTGGTCGACAGTCAGTCGCAGGGCACATATCGAGACAACTAACCATTCACACCCATATCCACATGGTCACTGAGCGGGAACTGACCCCACGCTGCCCGCTCCCAATTCAGGTGAGTGTACCACGACATCAGCGACTCTGGGAAACCGAATAAATTATATTAAAATGAATAAAAGCAACAGTTTCCATTCAAAGATGTTTACAATTACAGATACATTAATTAAATCTAACCAGTAATAACGGTGTGTGTGCGTGTGTGTGCGTATTTATTTGCATTTAAATGATGAAAAAAACCGACTAAAAATAACCCCCGCATTTTATGTACGTTATTTTGTATTGGTGTTAGAAGGAAGAGAACAATCTATGAGCAAACGTTTTCATCGTAAATCTTGGGGACATATATTCACCAATCAGGAATGACCGACGAACTACGAAAATAACGCCTCCGCCCACGGACACAGCCCGGTCGCGTCTCCAGTTTCGATATTTGTTTCTTTTACTTGACATTTAGAGTCCCATTCGTCAATAACAACACAGATATTATGTTGTCCATAAATTCAATTTTATTTGCTCAAGTGCATGATTTGAATTAGATCTCGGTCTACGTATGTATTGGATAGTACTGCATTGATGACCACATCAAAAGCCAATCAGAATGCCAATTGATGGGTATATACCAACAGTGGACGCGAGGAGAGGGGCTGATGCAAAGCCACGGAAATTGCGTAGGGGGGCACAAGTATCACCGCACAAGACACGACAAAACAAAGTATTTTCTGTGGAACCTCCTTTTGGAACCATGGGCATCAGTGAATCGCTGTCAAGATAATACAACCATTCGCGTGACTAAAATTATGCTAACAAATACATGATCAGTGACAGACATCATGCCAATCACTGTATTTTATTACACAGAGGATAAAGCAGTTCGGTTAATGGATGGATGGATGGATGGATGGAAGAAGCAGCGATGTGGTGAAAGGTGACGTAAGACATGGAGCTGCAGGAATGCAAGCACATGCGCAGAAAAATCACGCTGGATGGCTGGAACCGTTGCCTGGAAATCAGACGCCCTGTCGACGCCATCTTGGCTCTAAAGTCAGCGGAGCGTTAAGTGTGGATAGTGCGCGCGGCGCCATTTTGGCTCACCAGGTTCTTTGGCCACACATTTGTGGAACTCGGAGCGACTGCCAGCATCCGACTAACGGTGGACGTAACGTTTGATGTGTTGGAGGCAATTTGGGGGTTAAGAAGCACATACGGCGTATCCGTCGGCGTTGTGATCGACCCCAAAGTGGAGATTTTCTGCTTAGGTTCGGGAGCGGAATTTGCCAAATGATACTTTGGGTAGGGTAAACCGTCTGAGATACTGGGCGTACACAGTGCAATCAAGACAGGAGTCAACCGGCGATTCCATCGTCAGCTAGCCCATTAACCTGGAAAGCTAAGCATTTTGGACAGCTACGTTAGCGTGCGGTGGAGCTCAGCACCGTGGTCCGAACTAGAAGTCTGGGTGTTTTTTGATGATGGAGTCAAACACTTCCCACTACAATTCGATGCAATAATGCGGATTCGAGTCATGCTATTGTTTCCCTGCAAAGGAGGAAAATCTCCAACCCTTGCGGTCTGGTCTGTGGTTCCTGTTGAGCTAGCCCGCTAGCTGGCTAGCCCACTCACCGGGATACCAGTACCAGAGAAGGTGGGGCGGGCGAACTTGGACGCTTTTATCTTCATCCCATTTGGGTCATACGTTCTCCAATGCCATTGAACTGTCATAGTAACACCTCCGTTAATTAAGCGTGCACATCTTAAACTATTGTGAAGCGGCTATTTGTGGAGCTCCCCGCGTTTGCCTTTGGACCATGGCGGACGACGACGTGCTTTTCGAAGATGTCTACGAGTTGTGTGAGGTGATTGGCAAGTGAGTACGGACACGCCACATGTTCATCGTCTTGTTTTTCCCAAACAGCTATTTTGCATTCGTTCCGCTGCAACGTTGATTTTCAAAATTGGCGTTGGCACAAAGTCTTGCAACTTGCTTGATTCTGGACTCTTATCTCTTTTCCCAATACGACAGTGGCATCACTGCATCCCTTTGCTAATATGAACTGACATGGTGCGTGCTTGTATACGTGTGTGTGCGTGTGGGCGCGCGAAAGTAATCATGTGACTGGAAATTCGGGGCTCAATGACACAAGATTACAATGCTTGGTTTGCATTTATACTACCTGCTCATTCAGCAGAGGTCAGTTTTCTAAGGGGACATTACAAAATAAAAAACGTCAAAGTATTTCTCATATACTCAGGTGACAAATGGTCTGTGAAAACATCACAAACCCAAGTGTCAACCCACCTGGAATTATTTGTTCCTATGTGATGGAAGGTGGCTTGGACCTTGTTTTTGTTTTTGGGAAAGAGGACCCTGGCCGTTGGAAGTACCGCTCACTTTCGTAGATCTTTGGATCATTACATTTGTACGAGGCACTCTAACATGCAGCTTGCCTGGGAGATCTGGTTGCTGCTGTGGTCACTAATTCAAGGAAGGTCCTGGAAAATGACCTTGAAATTCCACAGGCTAACTAATTAATGAAGTTATTTGAGGAAAGAAAAGAGTGGGCTGTGATAGATTTCTGAAAACGTTGTTGTAGAAGTCAGGAGTGACACAAAAGACTTTGGAATTTGGTGTATCACTGTTGAGTTCTGGTATCTTGGAAATTTATCGGGAGGAGGAAGAGGTCATTTTTCCTGAGCCCAGATGCATGAGGGGAAGGCAGTCTGGGACCAGATCAATCAGCAGAATGGGGACTGGAATGGCCTTGAGGCTCAAGATAGAAATCATCTCAGCAGGCATTGACAACATCAACTCCTTTTTCCCAGTTTGTTCCCATTTCATCCCTCCCCACTGACACAAAAAAGACCTGTTAATTTCATTTCTTTTGGGTACTAGACCTATCTTTTTGATTTGTAGTTTCAATTGTCTTTAGTGCTCACAGAAACACACACATGCACACATGTCACATTTCACACCCATGCTTCCTGTTTCATGTCAGTGCAAAACTGCATCCCTTCACATTGGATTTACCTTACTTCCACAATTTCCCATTGAACCAGTCAGCTCCCATGTTGTCTTCTGAATAGATCAAACTGTGGCTAAAGATGACAAACAGATGTTTGAATTAAGTCGTGAGAGATTGTTCTTTGCTTCTAATGTTAGAAGACAGACATTGCTGTGTTGCAGATGCATGTGCTACAGTCAAACAACCTCCAGACCAGTGGTTCTTAACCTGGGTTCGATCGAACCCCAGTGTTCGGTGAGTCGGTCTCAGGGTTTGATGGAGCCTCTGCCATGGAGGGAAGGTCACACGCGACTCAACAGTTAATTAGTTATGACACGCCCGCTTGGCCATCATTGGCTGCAGATGATCACATTACATTGCTTGTCCAGTCAGTGCTGTGGGAAATTTAGTTTTCTTAGTAGTCAACGTGTGACTGTCGTGATAGTACGTCATTCAATGTAAAAAAAAAAAAGTATACTTATCCCTTGAAATTTGATGAACTTTTTTCAGTTTTTAATAAATGTGTTTTTTTTTATATATCTTGAATTTGTAAAACATATTTATATTTATTTTTCACTCATGAAGGGTTCGGTGAATGTGCATATTAACTGGTTGGGTTCGGTACCTCTAAAAAGGTTAAGAACCACTGCTCCAGACCAATGACTTGTGGGTTGTAGTTTAGTGTCTCACTGTAGACTAACATCCTTGGGATTGGTTGTTAGAAAGAAGTTTGCCCCCTTCACCTATTTCACTTACGAGCTGCCCATCACAAACGACTGCTCAGGGGTGACACTGAACCAAAACTCTGTCATCTACAAGTACAGTACGAACATTTAAAAACCTGGAGTGTGTGTGTGTGTGTGTGTGTGTGTGTGTGTGTGTGTGTGTGTGTGTTTGATTAACTCAATTGCATTCATTCACACCTGACTTGAGCAGAAGCAGATGCATTTATTTAGATACCCAATTCCAATGAAATTGGGACATTGTGTTAAACATAATTAGAAACAGAATACAACGATTTACAAATCATGTTCAACCTATACTTAGTTGATTAAGATAAAATAAGAAAACCTTTAATAGTCTCACAATGGAGAAATTCCCACTTCACAGCAGCAAAGTTATGAGAGGAAGAAGTAGAAGAACAAAATAAATAGGAGCTGCGTGAAAGGCAGCCACTCTTGCGGCGCCATCTTGAAGTCAAAATAACACAACAAAACACATAAGACACAGACAGTCGTGCAATCTTAATCACTTTTCCTGCAAGATTACACTACAGAGACAAGAAATATTATGTTCAAACTGATAAAGCTTATTGTTTTTAGCAAATAATCATTAACTTAAAATTTTACGGCTGCAACGGATTCCAAAAAAGCTGGGACAGGGACATGTGTACCCCGGTTTTACGTCACCTTTTCTTCAAACAGGATTCAATAACCGTTTGGGAACATAGGACAGTTATTGTAGAAGCGTTGTTAGCGGAATTCTTTCCCATTCTTTTGCTATGTACAGCTTCAGCCATTCAACAGTCCGGGGTCTCCTTTTTGTATTTCACGCTTCATAATGTGCCTCACATTTTCAATGGGAAGCAGGTTCGGACTGCAGGCAGGCCAGTCGAGTAGCCTTTTTGTATGAAGCCACACTGGTTTAACACATGCAGAATGTGGTTTGGCATTGTCTTGCCGAAATAAGCAGGGGCATCCATGAAAAAGACGTTGCTTGGATTGCAACGTATGTTTCTCCAAAACCTGTATGTATCTTTTAGCATTAATGGTGCCTTCACAGATGTGTAACTTAGCTATGCTCCATACCATCACAGATGCTGGCTTTTGAACTTTGCATCCATAACAGTCCGGATGATTCTTTTTTTTTCTTCAGCCGGGAGGACAAGGCGTCCACAATTTCTAAGAACAATTTGAAATGAGGCGGAACATTTTTACACTTTGCATCAGTCCATCTTGGATGAGCTCGGGCTCAGAGAAGCTGGCAGCATTTCTGGGTGTTGTTTATAAATGGCTTTTGCTTTGCATACTAGAGTTTCAAGTTGAACTTCCGAATTTAAAGGAGAACTAGAGTGACACTGGTATTCTGCAGTGTACCTAAGCCCACGTGGTGATATCTTTTCCACATTGACTGCTTTTGTTGCAGTGTCACCTGAGGGATCGAAGATCACGGGCATTCAGTGTTGGTTTTCAGCCTTGCCGCTAACAAGCAATGATTTCTCCAGATTCTCTGAACTTTTTGATGATATTATGGACCGTAGATGATGAAATCTCTAAATTCCATGCAATTGTACGTTGAGTAACACTGTCATTAAACTGTAAACTGAGTATTTTCCAACACAGCTCTTCACAAAGAGGTGACTGTCACTCCGTCTTTTCTTGTGAATGACTTAGCAATTTGGGGAAGCTCCTTTTATACCCATTCGTAGCACCCACCTGTTAGCCTATTCACTTGTGGGATGTACCAAACAGGTTTTTAATGAGTAGTCCACAATTATTTTTGCCACCTGTCCCATCTTTTTTGGAACCTGTTGCAGACATAACATTCTAAGTTAAGGATTATTTGCTAAAATAAAACTAAAGTTGATCAGTTTCAACACTGTATATCTTGTCTTTGTAGCGTATTCAATTAAATATAGGTTGAACGTGATTTGCAAATCAGTGTATTCTGTTTCTATTGATGCTGAACAGAACATTACAACTTTATTGCAATTGGGTGTGTACTTGACCTTGCTGTTTGGACCACACTAATAAAGGGACTTATGTTAGGCACAGTGAGAGAACACAAAACTGCCCCTGAAACGTAATTTTCTACGCATTTGTTTTTTGCTCTTCATGTTGAGTCTGTAGCTGCACGTGTTATGTCTGTTTAGGCGAGTAAAGCAACTGAGGAGCTCAACGTGCTTGTGGAGGCTCTCAGTCGTACAGGAAAGTTCCATCGTAGAAAGGGTTCTGTCAGTCGTCATCTGTACCTGTGGGTAAAAAACAAAAAAAAACAAAAAAACAAAAAAAGCAAAAAAGGACGTTTCGCAGACAGAACCCTTTCTAAATATTTTCAAATAAAATTAAATTTCTTTCCATAATTTTTTATTTTCCCCATAAGAAAGAAAATTGTAATAAAATCACTTACCATCCCCACCCAGTCCTCAAACAGGCCACGCTCAGCTTTTTAGCGCAGAGCAACTTCCCGGAGTCTTCACGGAGACTTCAGGGTTGTCTACCGCTGACGAAGCTTCTGTGAGAGAAGCAAAACGTCCTTTTTTGCTTTTTTTGTTTTTTTGTTTTTTTTTGTTTTTTACCCACAGGTACAGATGACGACTGACAGAACCCTTTCTATGAGGAGCTCAACGAAAAGTGCCCTCATGTCCGGCACATCCTTTTGCAACAAAAATGTCTGTCATCCAGAGGTCTATTGAAAGAATATAAAGGAGGCCTCTGTCATGATTTAAATTCTGGCAAGTGTTTTGATGGTTGCTGTTGTCTAGATGTGAGGAGCATGTGGGCGTTTTGCATGATCCCACAGCTGCGGTGATGTCAGCGTGACATGCGGCCTCTGCACTCCCTCAGACACAGTTGATTCATTTGATAGAGTTAAATATCATTTTTATGCTATTCATTGAAATGGTACCCCTTCCCCCTCTTGTGTGTAGTGTGCCCCATTTGTAAATTGAATTTCAATGCATTCCTCATTGTTTAATCATGATTACAAATGGGACTTAAAACAGCCATTGTCACCTGGCGCAAATTGCTCACTAGCAGTAATGACGTCTATTGGCAAACAAGTATTTGCATCCTCCAATGAAATGCTCAATTGCTAATAGCTAGAATTTTGAGATTTCCTTGCGAAGGGATGGACAGCTGCTATAGCAGTTTACCCCAATTGGGCAAAGGTCATTGTGGTTGTCGTATCATCAGCAGGGAATCTGGTGAGAAGAGTGTTTTCCTAACCAAACTTTGCACATACCTCATGCTGTGCTTACTTGGTTCAGAAAGAAATGGCAGTCAGGGGCAACTTTCAAGCTCACCACATTCTCTTTTCGCTGGTCTGTCCATCCTCTATAAATAGTCTGCATGTCCATACACCATATGTCTACACAACTATGTTAGGGAGCACATCAACAATATCTGCCACCTCTGCGACCATTGGTGTGGTCACTATTGCCCACGTCCCTATAATAATGCTTTTATTTCAGTATTCACAGCTGTGTGGCTTACAACTGCTCTGTAATTCCTTTGGCAACAGTATGGCAAAACTTCCATATGTCAAACCTCCCACATGGATGTTGGGATATAATTATGAGCCCGTGAGTGCTGACTATGTGCACACACATGCGTAGGTGTCTGATTAAATTTGTGTCTATTGTAGGGGACCTTTCAGTGTGGTACGCCGCTGCATCAACAGGGACACGGGCCAGCAGTTTGCTGTGAAGATCGTCGATGTGGCCAGCTTCACCTCCAGCCCCGGCCTCAGCACTGAAGGTGAGAAAGGGTGCAGACCTCGTTACCGTGGTTGTGCCTAAACCTTGAGCTTTGTGCATGTGGAACAGCAGATGGGCAGGGTAAAACCTCTCTGCACACAAGGGCACTGAATAATTTGCCAGAAATTACACTTTCAATGCCCAATCTGAATTTTGCCTGCGTGTGTATCTGGTAGGCTTCAGGGGCAGGACCTAATTTATGTGTTTGCATGCATGTTAAGATCACATGCAGGTTGGCGATCACAATGTGCCCCTGTAGTGCCCCTGACAGGGATTAGCTCTGCAGCCAGTAAGAACATCAAGAGAAGGAAATGAGCCCCAGGAGGAGAACCGCTTTCAGTCTCTTGTGACTAAGTGCTACTCAAGTCTAAAATTGACAATCTTCTCAGATTGGATACTATTGTCATGATCCGAAAGCCCACCACACACCCAGCGACATGGTCAAAACTGGTTTATTTGAGTGGCTGCCGGGCAGCCGCTGCTTTTGGTAAAATTCAAAATTTGAATCGTTGGTGTACTGAATTGCAATGCTGCGGAGCTCACAGGCCTTCAGAAATACAATACAATACAATACAATACAATACAATACAATACAGTAATCCCTCGTTTATCGAGGTTAATGGGGACCAAAACCACCTGCGATAAACGAAAAACCGCGAAGTAGCGTCCAATTAACATAAACGGGTTAAAAAATTATTATTATTATTTTTTTGAAGTCCGCAAACGGTCCACAAGAAGCTGCAAAACAACAGCGAGTCACATAGCGCAACATATACAGTACTGTACTCCATGTATATTTTAAAAAAAAAAAATTGTTTGAAAAAATCCGCGATGCACTGAACCCGCGATAAACGAACCGCGAAGTAGCGAGGGATCACTGTACATCTTTATTTATATAGTGCCTTCACAGCATCTGCAGCTGTAACAGTTAACATAAAATAACAAAATATGGTCAAATAACAAAACACATAAGACGTGGACAGTCATCCAGTCATAACAACTTTCTCGGTGCATTGAATCAATTACAACTAGACTGTTCTGGTTGTCTGAGAGGATGTTTTGCCTCTCATCCATGCGGGCTTCATCAGTTCATTCTACAAGGTGTTGTTCGGACTGCACCAGCCTGATTTGGTGTGGGGGAAAACCCAACTTTTTATGCTCCAAGTTGGAGGCACGCTCCAACCACGAATGGTGTCATTCTTTTGAAATGCAAAGCAACAATTGTTGAGATGCATTGCAGAGAGGCATCTGTCTGTCACCAAGGGTCATTGAATGGAAACTCATTTATCAATATTTCATCCAGTTGTAAAAAAAAAAAGTATTGGAGCTGGCTCAACAACTGGCTTAAGTGTCACCCCCCTCCACCCCCCAAACTTTCTCTCGAGAAAAGGAAAGCTGTGACATTGCTGAGCAAGGAAACATCACAAGCTTGAAAGCAGATAAGGGGAGATGCAAACTAATCCTTCACACAGTAGACTACCATAACAAGGTACTCACACTTATCAAAACGATGCCACCACACGAGAGACTAAAAGAGACCCAACCCATGGATCCAAGAGAAAAATAACGCAGTACTTACAAATAGGGATATTGCGATGCGATCAGGGTTTTAAACTGCCATTACCGATCATCCATGAGTGTGATCGGCTAATACCGATCATATGGATTTGGTGTAAAACTTTCAAGTTTAGAGCTGGTAGTATTTTTCTTAATAAATCGATTAATCAGTTGATTTTTATTTATTTAATTGATTATCTGATTGAAAAAAAAACATCCCTTTATTATTCAAAAACAGGACATTGCTTCAAATAGACATTACAGAAAATGTACAAAGAAATTGTGATTCAGTTTATTATGTTGGTCTGGAACATGTCAGAAAATAGGGGGAATTTTTTTTTTCTTCCCCCACCCAAGGTAAAGCAGCTGTTTGCAAATACACGGATTAAACACAAAGATGATGACTACTCATGTTTACAGAGAGCATTGTCTTCCAATTAGAAAGAAACCAAATTACCAAACGGAATGAAGTGTTATTTGGATGTGGTATATTCCTGATACCAAACATGCTGGAGCATGAGTATGAAATTAACAATTTAATCATTCATTTAGTGTAATGGTGGTACGGTGGTCAACTGGTTTGCACATCCACCTCCCAGTACAGGGTCGTGGATTTGAATCCGGCCCCGGCCTTCCTGTGTTGAGTTTGCATGTTCTTCCTGTGCCTGCGTGGGTTTTCTCCGGGTCCTCCGGTTTCCTCCCACATTCCAAAAACATGCATGGCAGTTTAATGAGAACGTTCAAAATTTTCCATAGGTGTGATTGTGAGTGTGAATGGTTGTTAATGTGTGGCTTGCGATTGGCTGGCAACCAGTTCAGGGTGTACCCTGCCTACTGCCCGAAGTCAGCTTGGATCGGCTCCAGTCCGCCTGCGAGCCTCGTGAGGATAAAGTGGTTCAGATAATGGATGGATAAATATAATAAAGAGTTGTAGAAGGAAAATAAGTGCTTCAAATACATCAGATTTCAACTGTTGTCTCTCTATCCAAACACTAGGTGGCAATATGTTACTTTGAAGAAGAAAAAAATCTGGCATGAAGTCATATCATGGTGTTCTGCTACACCATAAATATGTGAATAACGACACGAGACTGACTATCGCGATTACTGCAGCGATCAAACTTGAATGTTAACGACTCCAGACAGCAACTGTCGCCCTTTCTGAAACTCTTTGTGGCCATCGAAGGTTTGAGATGAGTGCAACGAAGCGAGATGCTAATGGTAGCCCTCTGCCGGCCGCGCCTCTTGTTCCCAAAGAATTGAAAGCCAATGTATGTATTGAAAAGAAGGCGTAGCTCGAACGATTCTCAAACACTTTTCATGAGGCAGATTTTTATTTATTTTTTGTTAACAGCAAAACTTTTGCGATCAATACCAAGCATAAATCCTTGCTTGATTCTTTTTTTCTTTTGTTTTTGTGACGCCAATGATCACAATGCATAAACACTGCACAGGCGAGCCACTCAGTGCACTTTGTGTGGCACAATACATTTAATTAATGAAGGACATTCATCCTTTTCGTGTGTGTCTGTGTGAAATCGTCATATCTAAATGCGAACATTTGTCACTTTTTTTTTTTCTTTTAACATACCGTTAGTTTACCTTTTGTGTAAAATCGTGACATCCATGTCAATTCCTCAACGTCACTGGCGATGTGTCAAGCATTGCTGGTCAAAATTAATGGAATGTAGAGACAGTAACATGTCTATACTTATTTTCTTCAGGTAGATAAAAGTAATTTTTATCGTAGCGAGACACTTGGGGAACAATATGTTACTCCCTTACCAGAACAATTACATACATAGGGTGATCGATTGCTGTGTAGAGGCTTTGATCGAATTCACCGATCCCGCGCTTTTTCACAAATATCGAGTGATTAACGGCCACCAACTGTTCGGGGCATCCCTACATAAAAACTTGAGGGCTTGAGGAAACCCATGGGGACCCTGATTAGCCCGTGTTCCCGATTTTCGTTTCTCCCGATTGGGACCATTTTGGGCTGATTAATACTTCTTCCGCAATATAGCAGAACCTTTCAGTCTGCTGAAAATACAGAGAGGAGCACCTCTCAGACCCATTGACTGCAGCATCAACTCCATTACATTACGAAGTATGTCGCTAACGTCTTAGCATCTTTGGTTGGCGATACACCACACCAGGTCGATCACTCTCTGGACTTTAAGAATGTCAGAGACCTAAAGTGGTTGCATTTGATGTTACTTCTTTTTTCACATGGATTCCAACCCAGGATCCAGTGGTAATTTGAGAGGCAACGACTACTGCTTGGCGGGCTGCCACAAACGATTATTGTGCTAGTCAATTAATCACCAACAGTAGTCGCAATTAGCTGACTAATCGAATTACATGTAATTGGCGGCATATTGCACCACCAAACAGATGCTCTAATTAACCATCGTTATTTTATAGCCTGAATTTCTTAAGGCAGGGTTGTCAAAATATTTTTGTCGCGGGCCACACCTTGGAGGGCCTTTAAGACAAAGAAGTCAAGAATAATGGTTTATTCAAGTATTTTTTGAAGTTACTATACTGAGGGGTTTCCTAACAAGAAAATCCTTACAATATCTCTCTTATTTACTCCATATGAGAATGAAAAATTGTGGTGCAGATCCAGTATTAGCGAGCATCATGGAAGTTAACATTTTTGATTTGCTTTCACGGGGCTCATAAAATGAGGTGGCGGGCCAGATCTGACCTTGACACCTGTGAGTTACGGTACGTATAAATTGACAATAAAGACAATGAAGATTTTAGTACTTGAAAATGGTAAGTTGGATACCGGTCTGTATGTATTAAAAACAATGTGGTCAAAACTGCTCTTCTTCAGAAGGGGCTTCACCACCGCCATTTCAAAGGCGGCGGGGAAGACACCCATCTGAAGAGAGCAATTGACTACATTTATAATCAGTAAAATGTCTTTATAAGTGACATGTGAAGTGTGTCTAAAAGGCAAGTTGTTGGATTTACCTGGGAGAAAACTCGACCAAGTGTCTTTGCATCAACCAGGGCAAAACCTTCCAGTGTTTCTGTCCTCAGGTAAAAATGATTATGCAGGTTTCTTGAAACTTACATTTTGACGAGCTAAAAGACTGGATCTTGTGTCTTCCATTTTACTTGGGAAGTCTTCTGCAAAGTCTTCACAACGAGCGTCTGTTGGTGACTCTGGGGATTTTTTTAAAAGTTGGAGCTGGTTAATAGATACATGGCGGAGAAAAGAAATCTGGGACTGTTTTTATTGAATGTGATAAGGTTTGAAAAATCAGATATCCTTGTCTGTTTGACTGTTTCAAGTTATTCACTCATTCATTTCCCGAACCGCTTTATCCTCACTAGGGTCGCGGTGTTTTAAGTTACATAAGTTATAATTATTCAGAACATTTTCAATCATGGATTTGACCTAATGGCTTGAATTGTGCTTCGACTGTGTGAGTTTATATTTGTAAAAATTCACTTGCTTTGCGACTGCTCACAATGTCTTGAGTGTCTTGATTTATAAGTGATCGATGTGTGACTCGAACCAAGACTCAAAGCACCTTTTGTCTCATTTGTCAGATCTGAAGAGAGAGGCCAGCATCTGCCACATGCTGAAACATGCGCACATCGTGGAGTTGCTGGAGACTTACAGCTCAGATGGCATGCTCTACATGGTGTTTGAATTGTAAGTGCATGTATCTCACCCACAACCCGTGAAATATTCCATATTTAGCTGCTGGAGTATCTCGAAGATGACTTTAGACCTTTGGCAAGCAACTACTTTAATTGCTCACCCACATGAGAGTGGACAAACATTTCTGTTCCATCCCACTTCCACAGAAAAAAAATCCCGTCCCAGTCCGGGATCATCGTTTAAAATACCGTAAATAAATGAATAAATAAAAAGTCCTGAACCATTCCGCTCTCGTTGAATACAAATCCCACTCCCGTCCAGCTCCCATTCAGAATGACTCCCACTCTCATTTTGGAGGTCAGCGACTTTAATCAAAAATGACTGCGCACCTGTACAGTTGTACCTCTACTTACGAAATTAATTGGTCCTGGAAGAAATTTCGTAACTAGAAAATATTGTAAGTAGAGATGCATTTTCCATGTAAATGCCCGAATCCGTTCCAAGCCCCCCAAAATTCAGGCATAAATGTTTTCTAAAGCATAAAAATGCATCAAAATATGTAACAAATACATCTTACAATTAGATTGCACAATAAATGAGAGTTGTGCATAATGTAAAAAACAAAGAATAAAGAATCAAAATGATGGTCATTTAACTTTAAACTGTCCTCATCGTTTTTTTGCCCTCTTTAGTTCATGTTCTTTCTCAGAAATGGTGTTTGAAAAGAATTGATCCAAGGGCATTTGCTTTTTTCGGCTTTTAACAAGCCTTTGAAAATGTCCAAGGCAAACATTAGCATAGTGAGCGATCGACCGACTGGTGAACACTTTTTCTGGGTGATTCACATTTACGTAAAATTATCGGGACACCTCGTGGCTACCATTGACTAGGACGCTCTACAGACATATCTCTCTCTCGACACACATCAACACATTTGGTAGAGGTCCATCTGAGACAATGGGATGCCAGGATGATGCTCGGTAATAGCCAATGGCAGAGCAGCTATAAGTATGTTACGTTCAGGAAACTCGGAGCTGCGACTCGCAGCCCATGCTGTATTTTTACCTTTTGTATCTTGAAATTTCTTTCGTAACAAGAGGCAATATTTTCCTTTTGAGACATTTCGTAACTTGAACATTTCGTATGAAGAGACTTTCATAAATAAGTTGAAGTACCAATGTAGGTTTTTTTTGCCCCGACTGTATAATCGCAGTCCCATCTGCTCTTATGAACTTTTTATCCCGTATTGTCTCAATCCCCTGACTAAAGATAAAGTTTACTCTGATCCAGTGAGCATCCCACAGGATTCCCGAAAAATGTCAACCTCTAACCCACATCCTTTGTGTGTGAAGAGTTAATATTGGCACACAGTATTTGTTCTTACATACCCACCAGGATGTCTGGTATAGTTGCATAATAATAATCACTATTAGAGGGAATTATAAACGCTCAGCATAAAAGTGAATTAAAATCACTATGCTGCTGCAATATAACTTCCAATGTGATACAGAGTTCATTAGTTGCCTTATTGCACTCGACCTTGAGAATGCACTCTATGATGTAGGTCGTCTTCTGCATTCTGTTCAGAACGCTTTTTGGATCTTTCAGTGGTTTGCCATAAATAGTTGCTTCAAGCCAAAATGTAACCACATTGTCCTCTTACTTCTAGTATGGATGGAGCTGACCTCTGTTTTGAAATTGTGAAGAGAGCTGACGCTGGGTTTGTGTACAGTGAGGCTGTGGCCAGGTAAGACGCCCATCATCTGAGTTCTCTTTTAAGGGCTGCTGCACACGACCCGATGATTCCAAATATGACTAGGACCCGATCATGAGTACTACTGTGTTTCACTTGGCGGACTGTGGTGGGCGGTTGTGTCTTGCTTGCTCTCTTTTAATGTGATAATTGATTTTTTTTTTTTTTTGCCTGTGTACAAGTTTTCGTGCAACTTTTATTGGTTATAATTTGTGACGTCACCACATTGTACAACCGCAACCTCAAATAGGCTTCTCGACTAGATTTTTTTTTTTTTTTTTTAACTTAAATAAGACTTTATATTCACTTTTTTCACAATTTACAGCTCACTTTCCACCCTCTTTTTTGGTGCCTGTTTTTATGGGGCAGTTCTACTTTTGTTGTTGTTTGTTTTTGTTTATTTTGTTTGTTTTTGCTGATTTTGTTCGCACTGAGTCTTAAAGAGCAAGCGCACATGCAAGTCGGTATAAAGGCCTTAAAAGCACTATTGCATTTTCACAGCACTTCGTAACCTAGCTGCTTAATTATGCTTGTCTATTAGTGTGCCATTTAATTATACTTGTGTATTAGTGTTCAAAACCGCACAAATTCCAGTGTTGTGAAAATTTGCCTGGTTAATTTTACACTTGATATATGGGCAGGCACTTGAGAGACACAACTATTTGTATTTTAAAAAGTCCTTTTTTATCATGATGAACCCCTTTAAAGTTGGATTAATTTGCAGATGGTATTAATCTTTTTTTTTTTTTTTCCTCGCAGCCATTACATGAGGCAAATTTTGGAGGCACTTCGCTACTGCCACGACAACAATGTAATTCACCGTGATGTCAAGGTGAGCTAGCCGACATCTCTCTTTCCACTACACGAGCTACATATACATCCACAAATTAATCAGGTCACTGCCATATTGAAATTCCAGTTTGGAGTTTGGATCCAATGGGGAAAAATCAATCTTTGGGCAAACTCTCTTCCTTTGAATGCTAGGTGGTGATGATACTGCTTTCAGATGGTTTAAATGTGGATTTGTTTTACACTTAAGAGGTTGCTTGAAACATTGAATGCTGTTGCTGTAAATTAAGAGCGCGAGGAAGTTAGCTCCGTTGTTCAGTTCATGGAAATGTCCATCCCAAAGAAGCGTGGTTTCCAATCGGTCGTCTGGGGTTTGAATACCACTTTTTAAAATTAAAGCATGGTCAGATTATAGTATTAACATTTTAAAGTTTGGTTTCAATCGATATAAGGCAGGGGCATAGCCAGAAATGTGCAATTATCATTAAATTAATTATTATACATGCGCACCAAAAATTGATGTCACGATTTTATAATAAAAGCTACAAACAACTATCAGCACATCTTACATAGACAGAACTGATTCATTTGTTTTTTTGGGGGGGTGTATGCCGACTGTGTTTCTGTTTGCTGATGTATTATTTTCGCGATCGACACTCGTCAATTTACCTGCTAATTTGTTGTTTATAGCCAGTTGCTCTCTGCTTCAATGCAATCAGTTCCAGCCAGAGGTCTGTGAAAAGTGTACTTAACACTTGAGTATTTTTTGTGGTGTTTGGTGACACAGCAGTAGCTTAACTATTAGCATGGGCTTCTTTTGTTCTCTCTTGGCAATGCGCACCATTATTACCCGTCAGTGACTCTGGGAAATTATGCATGGTAATATCAAGCCAGTTAGTCCAAATAAAGCCGTCATTTGTTGTATGATAGTAATGGTGTGCGTGCCGTTTAAAAGCTCAACTAGATTATTAAAATGGACGCTTGATATATGATATGTGGATCCTAAAATTTAGCTCCACATACCTTGGTTTTAATAACAGCCTTTGCATTGCTGGCTATCTTCATCATGTGAAGGTGGTAAACTGCACATGTAACATCTTGTAATTGTTAAGCTGCTCTGAAGTGCACACACTTCGACCAATGTTGTTGTTTTTTTTTTTTGTTTTTTTTTTTTTGCCAATTATTGGTGTCTGGCTTTGTGAACTAACTTTTTTCATGAAAATTCCTTTCCCTTTCTTGCATTTTAACGTGATGTCTTTTACTACAAAGTCTCTGATACATCCACAGTGGAAAGTTTACTCACTCCTAACATGGCAGATATTTGCATGACGGAGTGCGGTTTGACAACACAGTGGGGTGGCAGTAGCTCTGTAAGGACTTGTGCTTTGGAGCCAGAATCAAGTCCTGCCACGGTCACAGTTTTAAAATGGCTTCTAGTTGTTGGAGAAACGCTCGTCTGCTTCCTGGCGACTGTTGAGGTGCCCTTGAGAAAGGCACCATCCCCACTCTGCCACTTCATGAGGTGCAGTACTGTTTGTCCTCCCCTTTCACTCGGACATCTTATCTCATGTGTGATTTGGTTCTGTGTGTGGTGTGTAACACGAGTACGTTGAATTTCCCCAAAAGGAATTATGAGTACAATATGTTTAAAATGCAAATAATAGTTTGAGAGTCCCTGTTATGAACGGCTGATTTGTTCGTGGTTGGTACTCAAAATGTTAGCACAATTGATAAAAATAGAAAAATTGCACACTGAACTGTAGATTTTTTTTTTATGTTATTGTTGACTAAATCACAAAATAATGTTACTGTGTTCAGCTAATTTTAGTGACACTTACACAGTGCGAAGTCTACACAATTAGCAGTTTATTAAAGCAATACAATTTAATGGCTGATATAATTACATTTAAATTGATATGGAACAAATTTGAGCTTTTAACATATTGGCATGATCCTTGACAAGTGTTCCAGCTTCATAAATGTCCCCTTTGGAAAATTAAATTCCCACCCCTGATCTGCAGTGGTGTAGAAAAAAAGGGCTCATAACTAAGAGAACCAATGCACAATTATCATGTGCGGGCAGGAAAAGTATCAAACAGTTCAAGTTACCCTGCTCCAGCATTTTCGTGAATTTGGTAGGCCTTCTTCTGGTCACCAGATTAGGCATCCAACTTGTGCAACAAGCACAAGGGGTCCAGATGGAGCAGCTCTGAATCCGTCACTGAAACAGCACAGCAGGCATCCAACCACACATTTATTGGTGTTCGTATCTGATTCATTGCTTTCTTAAAACTCAGCGCTTTTAACGATGCCAATTTTTCACCATGTGGATTAAATTGACCGATACATTCAAACAGAAAGGTCAACACCAGTTGGGAAGATTCAGTCCACAGTTCTTGTTAACGCCAAAGGTACCGAAGGCCTTCGAAACTCTGTTGTTGAGCTGTTGGATGTGGCTTCATTTTGGAAGAGAGGCCGATTGCCAAGTCGTTTTTCAAGCACATGGAGGGCAGTTTTGCGCACTGAGCCTGAGAAAAGAAAGTACATGATCGGATCCAAGCAGCTGTTCAAGGCAGAAAACAACAGCATGACCTCATTGATGTGATCGACCACACGCAAGTAGTCACAGGATGCTGTGGCATTAAGCTGGGTGAGAATGTAGATGGGCCGGAAGGTGTGGTAGGGAACAAAGCAAAGTGTGAACAGGAAGAGGACAAAGAAGGATTTCTTTGCAGTACGTTCATATCTTAGTGCATTGGGAAGTTCTGGCTTGTCCCTTGACACTTTTATTAATCGGTAGGCGATCTTGGCATAGGACACCGCGAGCATGAGGAAGACAAACCAAAACAATATGACCAGTACAACATTAAAGTAGGCTTTCCCCCTGGCAAGTTGCCGCCGCTTGAATTGGAAACATTTGTGGTTGTCCTCTTTGTCCTCCGCCGTAGCAATCATGGGAACCAGTGCCACCAGAGACAGGCCCCATAGCGCTCCACATGCCACCCAACTCCATGGCAGACCGCACCCGCACAGCCGCAGCCCCAAGCCTCTCCTCTCCCTGCGCTTCCCTTTGAGCCTCAAGTAGCGATCCAGGCTGATGAGCCCCAGTAGCATGATGCTGATGTACATGTTCATATAGAAGAGATTCCCCACTAGCTTGCAGGCGACATGTCCCAGTAGCCAGCGGTTTCCCATCACGTGGTAGAAGATTCGGAATGGGAGACATGCCAGAAGCACCAAGTCCGCCACTGCACAGTTGATGAGGAACACGAACACAGAGTTGCGGCTGGCGTGAACAAAAAGGAAGACCCACAAGGCAAAGAGGTTACCCGCCAAGCCGAAGAGGAACAATAGGGAATAGACAACAGCTAGCGGCAGATGGAAAGCCGCATCATCTAGTGAGCAACTAGTTGTGTCAGGAGTGACCACAGAGGAGATCGGCATGGGGGGTGTGGGAGGAGATGTGGCTGAGAGCGAGAACACAGAAATGTGAGCAACAACAGTGTTGACCAAAGTTGGTGACCACGCAGCAGAGCTGTTCATTTTGTTTGAAGATTGGTGTCCTCGGGGTAGACCGGTTTCTGAGGAAATCAAACATAATGGTTCGATATAAGAACAAAGAAATCAATAAAATAGTTTCAACATCTACTTCCACAGAGGCAAAGGCTAAGACAGATATTTGAATCTCCGTTCGAACCTCTTTGTGTGGGGTTTGCATTGTCTCACTCTTTTTTCCCCATTTAATATGAATGGAAATGAAAAAAAAAAAAGTAAAATAGTAGTGGGGTGGTTGGGGTGTGGCGTTGATGTATATTAGCGGTTGAAAACTAATCCGCTACCGCAGGGGTGTCAAAGTCATTTTTGTCGCGGGCCACGTTTTAGGTACCATTTTCCTTGGAGGGCCATTATGATTGAAATCATATAAAGAAGTCAAGAATAATAGTTTAGGGAACTATTGTTTAAGTGATTGGAATGGGCTGTTTGGCAACAAAAAAAAATGCTTTCTCTCTCATTTATTACATATGAGAATTTGACATTTTGGTTCATATTTTAGCAAGCTTCATAGAATTTGCCATGTTTGAATTGCTTTCGCGGGCCACATAAAATGATGTGGCGCGCCAGATCTGGCCCCCGGGCCTTGACTTTGACACCTTGCGCTACTGGCAGGGGTTCCCAACCGTTTTTTTATAGATTTTTTTTTTTTGTCTTGCGTACTACCAAAACTTTTGAGTAAACCCTCATATGTGTTAATAATTGTCCAAAACTTGAAGGTATCCTGCTAACTGTTCATTGAATGAAAGTCATGTAATTTCGTCTGCTTGATTCGAAGATTCACTTCCCAGGCATTGTCTTGTTTTTAACAAAAAAAAAAACAAAAAACAATGTTGCCTTGGAAATGGTAATATAAATAAAATAAATTAACATAATCGTTTTTTTTCAAGTGCCTCTGTTATATATAACATATGTAACGTTCACCACATAAAACTGAGCACCTTTGCTTAAGTCCCCTTTAAACGAGCGTTTAAACTTTCAATATCAGGAATGAAACACTTGGATGGGGTTGCACCAATAAGGTTTAATTTCATCGCCGATTAGTTTTTAAATTAAGCTGAGCTCTGTTGCGTCATTTAAAATTAATCTTAAGTTTGATAAAACTCACTTTAATTAGATTTTAACTGAGTTTGAACTGATTTAAATCAATAGGGACATTTGTGAATCTTGAAATTTAAATGAATAATTAGTTATGCAATTAAAAGTGTGCTGTCAGGACCCCAAGACTATTTCAACGGGTGACTGTGCTTAGAGAGGAGGAGGAGGTTGTCTTTCAAAGCAAAATGATTCACTGGCGGAGAAAATCAATCCCCTCATCCCGCAGCAGATGGAGCCATTTTCATCATAAAATTCAATTTTCATTGAGGAGCTTCATTATTTTGCTCAATTCACCTCATGGTTAAAGTTAAACCTTCTCAATCATCTGTGTAAAATGAATTCTCAATCACAGTTTGAACTGGAGTTGAAAGTTCTGGTACTACAGAATTACATTAACTTTGAGACTAAATATTTCACTAAGTTTTAAAGTTCATCTGTTTTTATTTTAAACTAAGTTTGAAGTTTAGGGCGACAGAATTTCAATTTAAACCACGGTTTAATCTGGTTTTAGTGTTAAACCTTATTCGTGCAACCCAGTCTTAATAACGAATCAAATTCAGATCCCTGAAAGCATTTTTACTTTTGCTTCATCAGTTATCTGAGCTCTAAGAGACACGTGAGCTGACATGCGGCCGTTGTGATTTTGGCGTGGTTGTGCTATAAGTTACTGTTTCCCCGGGAAAACAAGTTTAACCTTTTTATGCCTTATGGAATGATTGACAATCTATCATTGTGGGGAAAGAAAATGTTAGGTTTTACTGTTGTACCACTGTACCTCTGGTTGTGGAAACACTGGTCCATGGGCGTGGAAGTGATATGTACCTTCCTCATCGGGATGTTGTGAACATGAAGCCCCTCCAAAGTCCCCCCACAACTGACAAATCGATGAGAAGACAATTGCCGGCTAAGGTCCTTGGCCTATTCTACTGCCTACATTGCTCTTTTGATGAATAAGGTTTAATTTGAGCGACATAAGTTACGTTTTTTTTTTTTAAGGCAAGTAATACCGTTTGAATCGTTACAATCATTTTAAGGAGCACACACGGCGCACACCCCTCGCACATCCGGCCCATTTAAGCTTATGTGTGGATTTTCAGGGCCGAAGCTTGCCAACCAATCAACGAAGGGGCTCTTCGAGTAGCATACAAAATTAAAGGCTCAGTTGTGGTTGTGGACATCTGTACAACAATGCCTATGTTGACAAAAAAATGTAGCCTTTATTTCCAAGTTCTGACTTTGTGTTCAGGTATATATTATTTTTTCTTCTTTTTTTTTTTAATGGCAGCTTTTAATATCCAACATCTAAAGAGTTTTCAGCTTGGGGCTGAACATAGAAAACAACTGATATAATACGTCCCAATACATTGGTGTACATTTGTACAAACCTGAACATTCAGTTGCAAACATACTCGGAGCGAGTTAAAAAAAAAATCCTTTTATTGTTCGTGGTTGATTTAGTTTGCCTCTACCACGTCCTCCAGGTTGAGGCTGTATCTCACGAAGTGGAGACGGTTTGCAAGTGTGTGCGCACCCAACGATTTAGTTTTTTTTTTTTTTCGTCAGGGTTTGTTCAAGGTCGCAAATGGCCGCGAAGACGTTTGGCAACAATTTTAATGGCCTCAGTTGTTCTTGTCGCAAAGCCCTTTTGAGGATGTTAAAATTTAGCTGCTGACTGAAAAAATTGTTTGCAACTGTACAAACTGTTTGAGAATGTCAGGCGAACGTCTTTGCAACTTTTTTCAACATTGACCAAACCGTGACAAAACAAAACAGGGATAGGCAACTGAGGACGGCTTGCACCCCCTGCCCCTTGATTAATTAAAGAAGAAAAAAGCAGGAATAATAATAACAAAAATGCACATACAAAAACTTGTATTTTAACATTTTAAAAGCATACAGATACTGTGTAACAATTCACAGATTTTGAATCACAATTATTACAGTGCATAATACTGCTTCTAAAGTTAGAAGGATCATAACAATGCCTTGTTTGCCTTGGTTGTCAACTTCGAAAGTGTATTTGTGGCTTGAATTCCTGTTCAGAAATTTTAAACCCAGTTGTACAGTGTGCTATTTTTTATATAATGCTTACCGTGTGTGTGTGTGTGTGTGTGTGTGTGTGTGTGTGTGTGTGTGTGTGTGTGTATATATATATATATATATATATATATATATATGGTATATATATATGGTATATACATACACCCCCACACACACACTTCTTACTCTGCGTTGCAGTTGGTTCTCAATTAAATGACAGAAGCGGTGAGCCATTCAAGCCAAAAATAAAACACACAAACTCTTTGCCGAGAAGCGAAGTCACTTGGTGCCTCATTTTTATTGCCCGCTGCTAGATGATGTTGTTTTTGTGCGGCTCACATAAAGAGGGCTTCAACTCCCAGTCGGCTGAACATTCTTCCGACTGATGCCGAAACAAATACACTTAAAATTACATTTAAAACCGACCCCAAAGGCTCAAGTGTTAAAGTCATTTCCAAAGATGAAAACGAAGGAAATTTCCGCTTATTATTGTAGTTAGTTTAGTATACGTAAAAATGTCGTTTCAGTGACTTCTTTTTTTTCCCGCATTTTCGATTTTTTTTTTCTTTTCAATTTTATTTGTTAGTTCTTGTGAACCAAAATAACCTTGCACACACATCCTGTCCCCACGCATCCTTTTACTGCTTGACACTTACCAGCCGTGCTTTACTTGTACTGTTGGGAAAGTCCAAAGCAACATGAGCGCTTTTAGGTCCCAAGTACGTTTCTCCAATCACCTTCAAACAAAACACGAAGAAACTTGTGCAAACGTGACTGAATTAAAAAAAAAATATATATATATCGATGTTTTGCAATATGGACCTTTCACTTCACTCGCTCACTCTCCCAGTGAGTTCTGCACTCGTCTCATCTTCTCTCCTCTTTGTGGCCGCCTGTCACTCTTGCGTCAATGACTGTGAAGTCAGACAGAGGGCTGTCTATGCCCCCCCGCCCCTTTTTTTTTTTTTATAATGCTGCACGGTATTTCTCACCACCTTTTCACCCTTCGAGAAATGTTCAAAAGCAAATTCAGGAAACGGTAAGTTTTGGTTCCCAAGTATTTAACAACCTGATTGTGTTCTCTTCAAAGTTGCCCATTTACCTGTTTTAAAGGCGCCATTTTTGAATAGTCGTTTGTGCCTGCGAATGAACCAATGCCATCTTGCATTTGTTCTTTTTTTTTTCTCCCCTCCCCAATCCATGTATTAATAGAGAAGACATGACAATGGCAACGTGGACATGGGGGCACAATGGTGGAGGCAAAGTACTTAGGTGACACCTGCACATAGTGTCATCAAGACACTAGAAGAGTTTGAAAACTTGCCATTTCAATGTGATGGTGCACACTTCAAATGTCTGTGCTTGACATGATTTGATTCGATGCTCTGATGTGTCTGTGTGTAGCCCCACTGCGTGTTACTGGCATCCAAGGAGAACTCTGCTCCAGTCAAACTGGGAGGCTTTGGAGTGGCAATACAACTGGGAGAGTCGGGCCTGGTTGCTGGAGGTTCGTACACCTTTGTGACCTTAGGAGCATCCCGTTTCGGTCTTTTTCGTCACGCCTGCCACTTTCATGAATGCTGCTTCATCTAGCTCAGGGGTCGGGAAACTTTTTGACTAAGAGAGCCATAAAAGCAAAATATTTGGTAATGTATTTCAGTAAGCGCCACATATATATATAAAAAGTGATTTCAACAAAATGTCAGTATAATAAGCCTCTGAATGTATTTTTTAAAATAATTTTGTGATAATACTCACCATTAATGTAAATGGTTTTCCGTTCCTCACGATTACTAAAAATCGGAATGAAAGTTATCTTGCCGGGTCCATACGCGAAGTTACTGCTGGCTAGCTTGCACACTGCTCAGTAGCTTGCATGCTTCCTTTCGGCCGTCTCTCGCACAGTATTTTGATGTAAACGTAGCATGGGGCGTGTCAAAGTGTCGCTCTGCATTCGACCGTTTCATCGATGGTATTTTGTAATTGCAAATCAGACACACCACAAAACCCGTTCTCTCCACAAAGGCAAATCCTTCAGTCCATTCGTCCTGAAGTCTACCAAACTCATCTTTTTTTCTTTTCACCATCTTATTCGCAAAGGATTAGCTTTGAGCTAATGGCTGAGCAGCTTGATTCAAAAGGGGGCGTATACCTGTTTCCACAGCAACGGCAACGTTGGCCAGTATCATCCAATCAAAATGGCTCCTGGAGCCAACTGCAGCCTGAACGAGGAAATGAGCAGTGAAAAATCGATCGATGGATGCATTAATAAACAAACGAGAATATTTTTATCTGCGAGCCAGATTCAATCATCGAAAGAGCCATATATGGCTCGCGAGCCATAGGTTCCCGACCCCTGTTCTAGCTTATACCACGTGGCTCCTCTTTTTCAGGTCGTGTTGGCACTCCCCACTTCATGGCTCCAGAAGTTGTCAAGAGAGAGCCGTACGGCAAGCCAGTGGATGTGTGGGGATGCGGGGTGATTCTTTTCATCCTCCTGTCTGGCTGCCTGCCTTTCTATGGTACGAAGGATCGCCTTTTTGAGGCTATCATCAAGGGAAAGTACAAGGTGAGGAGTTTTTTTTTTCTTCCTCTGACATGCATTTCTTTGGACTGTATGAAGTGAAAGCGTTTGTCAGAGCGGTAGGCATCCTCTCACTGTGAAAGTACGGCACACTGAGGTGTTACCTATTTTTCCTGCATGACGAATTTGCGGCAGACGCAGTCTCAGCAGGAAGTCTGCTTTCTTCTGTTCCTCTGCCTGCAACCTGCCATTGTGGTTCTGCCGTCACGCTTCATATGTTGTTCAGGGACCCGAGACTTCACCTCTCTGAAAATCTTTCTGTGCGCAACTGTTGTCCAGATGAACCCACGGCAGTGGGCCCACATCTCTGAGAGTGCCAAAGACCTAGTGAGACGCATGTTAATGCTGGACCCCGCAGAAAGGATCACCGTTTACGAGGCTCTCAACCATCCCTGGCTGAAGGCAAATTTGAACAATTTCCTTTGAGCCTTCGTTGTTACGTTTGAATACACCAACATTGCCTCTGTTGATAGGAGAGGGACAGGTACGCCTACAAGATCCACCTGCCTGAAACGGTGGAACAGCTGAGGAAATTCAACGCCAGGAGGAAGCTGAAGGTCAGCACCTTTTTGAGTGTGATGATCTCGGTGAATCAAAGAAAACCAAAAAGGGGGTGGGAGGGTGCTCCATCCTTCTCATCACTGACTTTACAAGCTTTGCCATTTTCTCACTGCGTTCTAGGGTGCAGTGCTGGCTGCTGTGTCAAGCCACAAGTTTAATTCGTACTACGGCGACCCTCCTGAGGAGCTCCATGACTTTTCAGATGACCCAACCTCCTCAGGTGAATACCACAAGGCTTTGCTTGCTGCAGTTAATGCCTGTCGGACAGGGGTGTCAAACTCATTTTTGTCGCGGGCCACTTTGGAGTTACGTTTTCCCTCAGCGGGTTGCTACGACAGTGAAACCGAATAAATGTTTAATCATCTCTTCACATAACTTGTACACAACCAATTGATGGATTACTAGTTTTGAAATCACTCAACTCAACTATTTGTTTGTTAAATTAGCTATAAAGTTTTATTTATTTATTTTCCAGACAATGGTCTTTTTTGGTGAAGTTTCTCCTCAACTCTTTCCTGGCTGACAGTTTCCGGTGTCACTTCAGCCTTCATCGGAGCTGTCACTGCTTCCTTGTGACATGTCTTAAAAACAGCTGTTTGTTTGTTGTTTGTTCCATTATTGTTGAAGTGAGTGTAAACAGGACAACAAAATTATTGCAAAAACGCACCGTCATCTATTACACATGATACTTTGACATTTCAGAACAGATTTAAGCAAGGACCATGCAAGTTGACACGCACAATTTTCTTTCGCGGGCCACATAAAATGATGTGGCGAGCCAGATCTGGCCCCCGGGCCTTGACTTTGACACCATGCTCTAGGGTTTCGCTAATAGCCGCAAAGAAAAGCACTTGGAACAATAGGATGGTCATTTCACTGGCGTTCATTTCGCAATGAAATAGGGGCTGCAACTCACAATTATTTTAATAAGTGATCAGTTTTGTCAATGAATCGAAACGTTTTAACTTCCACACCTCAAATTTGTACTTATCAAGTATCCAAACCTGGTTGTGCATGTTTCATGTCCGGAACCATCCCTGCAGTTTCTCTTTTTCTTTGAAGTGCGCGCAGGCTGTCTGGTTAGAGCTTCCTCTCTCGGTGGAATCTGATACAGTATTAGCTGCACATCCCTGTCTCAGCCAAGTCTCACTTCCTTCCACGAGAGCTGCAGACTGCACATGCGTTATTTCTCCTCAACACTTGAAAACCACGTTTCGAATTCAACAGGAATTTGGAAAAATTACAATTTGCAATGCGGTTTCTTAAACGTTCAAATGCTCACTCCACTGAATCAACCTGATGTGTTTTCTACTCAATTGAATACGGAGGCACCTTAAACTCAACTCGGGTTTGCTGAGTCATCCAGCAGCGCTTCTTGTTTTCTTGGTCGATTAGTTGCAGTCGTCTGTACCAGACATGCTGCTGTTCTTCGTGCATGTTTACGGCGTCTTAGCGGCTTATTTTTGCTTCTGCTGATGTTACTTTTTCCGCTCTGCTGCAGCTGCTCTTTCTGTCATCATATGCCCTGCGTACTCCTTCCATCGGCTTTCCTGTCGTTTTGAAATCAAACGGTTGTGCAACTGTTTCTGTCAACCTCCGCTAATACCACTCTTGTTCCTGTGCTTTGCTGCCCTTAGGACTGCTAGCTGCAGAAAGTACGTATCCGTGCCCCCACATTTTAGAACCTTGATGTGCGTTACCCTTCTGCCTACCCCTGCCCCCTTTTTAGTTGCATTTGTGTTCAAGATTCCTCCTGGCCTTTGTTTCCCTAATCTCCCTTTAAAACAAAAAAAAAAAAAACTTTAATGAATGGTGTGCTCTTGCTCCCAAAACGTTCATCCCCTTAAGATGACCAAAACCGTCGATGTCGAGGACAAGCAATATACGAGTTTTTGAGATTTTGAATGTAGTTCACGAATTGTGAGAGAATTCAATCAATTTTTCCCGATGCGTGAATGTGCTGCTCTTTGCAAGCATCCACTGTTTGACTTTGTGAGCTGACTTTCTTCTCATGTCGTATTGATGCCACTGCTACTGTTTCTCTGGTTTTGCTGCATGTGTGGGCAATGCAGCAGGTACTTCGGGTTAAATAGCTGAATGTTTACCTATTTGTGGTTGTGACTTTGCCTGTACTGTGATCGTGCATCTGTCCTCCTTGCCTGTTTGTTGTTGTGTCTTTGTTTCTGTGGGTACATATACCATGACCGGTGTTTGCATTTTGTGTTGTGTTGAATGTTTTGGAGAGAGTGCTCAGTGTGATAATCATCAGCGTGTACGGCATGCATTTTCTATTCAGGTGAGTAACATGTTTTTGTTTGCATACTTAGGGGCAGTATCACAGGTTTTGGACAGTCTCGAGGAGATTCACGCGTTGACAGACTGCAGTGAGAAAGATATGGATTTTCTCCACAGTGTCTTCCAGGATCAACATCTCCACACCCTGTTAGATGTGAGTGGACCTTCCGAAGCTTAAAGTTTCCTGTCACACCAAAGTTGATATCATGGCGCATGCGTAATCTGTTGCCTTCATGTTTGTTATAATATCATTCTTATTCTATCATAAATGCTCAGGAATGAGCATCTTTGATGGTTGCAAGGGCGGCAAATGATTTAGCTGCTATGGGCTATTTGACCCATATGTCATTTTGTGTGGTGTTGGATTGGCAACTTGGCACGTTAAATGACTTACTTAAAACAACATGTCTTCAATCTTGACTGAAAGTGATACTTGTTTTGGTCACACAGTCACATTTCTTTGCGGCGGTTACCCATGCTTGTCATTTTATGGTTTTGTGCTTTTGCAGTTGTACGACAAAATCAACACCAGGTCGTCACCACAGATTCGAAACCCTCCCAGTGATGGAGTGCAAAGAGCCAAAGAGGTAAGCTTGATGCAAGTCTCATATAATGAACATGTTGGCCCGTCGATGTGCCTCCGTGTGTCGGTGCTATTCATCTTTGCTTTATTCTTTTTGCTCAAGGTGCTGGAGACAGTCTCCTGCTATCCAGACAACACGGAGGCCAAGGAGCTCAGAAGGATCCTCACGCAACCACACTTCATGGTGTGGGCGCACACCCACACACACACACACACACACACACACACACACACACACACACACAGTCACACACACACACACACACTATTGCGGTTTGTCTTGAATGTAAATTTTGAGTTCTTAAAGATATTTTTATAGGGGGGGTTGCAGTTTTTTCTGAGGTAGAATGATTACACAACATAATAAAGGGAAAGAAAAACCTCAGTGGAATTACAAGCTGTTCTGTCAGAAGTAGCGCGCCACATGCAATCCGCAGAACGGGCCTGGCAACACAAAGCTGCTTAGCACCTGAGCTGGGTTAGTGAGGTTAGATCTGCCAGGGAAAAGCTTGGGGACAGAAGTGATGACTAGAAGTCACTCTGAGGGGCTCGAGCCTACTGTTGAGCGGAATGTTTGCATTTCTCTGATGGCGATTACGGTCAAAGCGGGACCGGTTGTGGACTCACTCAGAGATTGATCGGAGAGGCACAAGGAATGTGGGGAGGATTTCAAAGGTGAACAGCTTTTTTTGTCTTTCGGAGCTGCGGTGTGAATTGTAATGCATAGCGCAGAGTCTGTAGATTAGTATGTATGTATGTATAATGTACATATGTGTATGCGTGTGTGTCAATGCAGTGTGTTTAAGGTGAATCCCCATCTATTCACGGTTTACAAATTGGCCTTGTCACATCTTTTTTCTTTTGATCCTGTGATGCCACAAGATCGCGTCAACATGCCGGTTAATAAGAAAGTAGTCATTTTTGTCAAGGGGGTATTGTTGAATCGATGTATCCCGAGTGAGAGACGATTAAGACCTTTTGTGTTTCAGGAGGAGGTGAGTTTTAACCCGGTTTGTTCGTGGAAGTGATGGACATGCGCTGATCGCTTTATTTTATTAATTTTTAAGTGTCATCTTTGAAGATGAGTTCTCAGGCTTTTCCTCCAAACGTCACGATGCCCATTATGGTCAAACAGTTCAATTTTAGTTTTAGCAGAGAACAGGACTTTTTTTTTTTCCATTCCATGTCGGTGTTTCAGTACACACTCTTACCAGCTCCATCATCTTCACAGGGTCTTTTGCTTTTGTTCTTTGGTAAATATGCACACTTGAGACTGAAACACATTCGTCTCTGGGACACAGAATTGGTCCACTGTCTGAGCCGTATGATAGCTGGACATTCCCATGGTGTTTATACTCATGTAAAATTGTGGGAAGAGATGAACGTGGCACTTTTAAGGCATCTTCAAATTGCACCCAAGGATGAACCAGACTTGCACAAGTCCACAATTCCCCGCCAGATATCCTGGAGGAATTCTTTTTACTTTGCCACGATGTTACGCAACAAAGGGGTGTGTTTCAGGCTTGCTTTCAAATACGTCTTTCTCTCATTATTTTGGCATTCAGCAAGCAGAAATAATGTTGGTCATATGCCTAACTGACCTAGTCCGGTTTCGTCAGACAGGGAGGAAAACATTCTGGTTTCACCTACATGTCACTGACGTCCGGTTGAAATCTCCTCGGTCAAAGTAACAAATAACGATTCACAGATTGATACAGTTGGTCAGTCCCCGTATGGGTATGTTCATTTTTCAAATGACTAAACATGACAAAGTGTTGGCTTTCTCTCTTTGACAATCTTAACGGCTTAACAAACATGCCGCTTTCTTGGTTTCCTGAAAAACAATGCTTTTGGAAATAAAAGGTTTCTGCCTTACACTAGCAATATTATGCACACAACAGTATAAGTGGATGGGCATGTTCAATTGGTATTAAGTACACTGTTGTGACACACTTGGTCGACCTCTATCCAATTAGGCCGCAATGCCTTGCGATCTCGTGCATGCTGCTTGTTCCACACATAATACTCACATCCCACTAAAAAGTCTTCCTCACAAGCTCAGCTTCACATTTGACGGTCCCTCCTTTTCTTTTAATGTAGTCAGTTGCTCTATGGAACTTGTTGAGGCTTTACAAGTAAACAACTGGGTTCCGCTGTGTTGTTGTAGTGGCAGCTAGTTCCCCCTCCTTGAGTGTCAGTGAGCATGATGGCAGGTTGATGAGCAAGGGCAGCTTGTAAATATTAGTAAAAACAAACAATGGGTCAGTAACTTGATCAGTGGTCTGAGAGGATTAGTGCAAGCCACTGTAATGCTACGGGCGTGTATTTTAACTCTGAATGAATGCTTTCCATGTTGCCGCCCAGGCTCTGCTCCAGACACATGATGTGGTAGCCCATGAGGTTTACAGTGACGAGGCGCTCAGAGTAACCCCGCCGCCCACATCCCCTTACCTGAACGGAGACTCGCCAGACAGCGCCAACGGAGACATGGACCTGGAGAACGTTACCAGAGTCCGCCTGGTGCAGTTTCAGAAGAACACGGATGAGGCCATGGTGCTTACACAGACACACACAGACACACAGACACACACACACACACACACACACACACACACACACGTGCGCGCGAGAAATGAAATCATTTTGGAAAATTCCAGACATCTACTTGGACCCCCTAACTCTGTTCTTTGTCCTGTAGTTCAGCTCAGTCCCTCAAAACCTCTTTCTGACCTGCTGTTTGTGTGTTTCACAGGGCATTACGTTGAAAATGAATGAGCTCAACCATTGCATCGTGGCTCGAATCATGCATGGTGGAATGATTCATCGGCAAGGTGAAGTCCCTTTTGATTTTATATGCTCATGTTATGTCATGTAACTAGCCTAAGTTTTTGCTCCTCAACTTCAGGGACGTTGCATGTCGGAGATGAAATCAGAGAGATTAACGGCATCAGTGTTGCCAATCAAACTGTGGAGCAGCTCCAAAAAATGCTTGTAAGTTAGCGGCTGAGTTGCAGCGTGCCACTTCAATAGGATAGCACGATCTTTCTCACGTCACGTCTCATGCCAAATTCATGTTTGCATACATGTTTTTTAAGTCTTTGTCATCCACAGAGAGAAATGAGGGGAAGCATCACATTCAAGATAGTACCCAGTTACCGGTCCCAGTCCAAGTCTTGTGAGGTACAGAACCAAAACCTGGTATGCTGACACGTCTGCGTATGTGGGTAAAAGTGAACAAAAGCACAGGAAAATGTTTGTGTTGCAGAACGAGTCACCAGATTTGCCTCAACATTCGGCTGCTAATGGTCATGCAAGTGTCACCAGCTCCATCCTGGTGAGTGTACATTTATTGTGATTTGAAAACCTAAGTAGATGTAAGAAAAAGAAAATGTGAGAAGTAGTGCTGTGAATATTTACAAAGATATTTTGGCTACCCAATAGGATCTGCCAGCAACAATTCAGCCCAAACCTCGACAGGTGAGTTCTACGGCAAAGCCCCAATCATCTTTCCCGTTTGCTTTAGCAGCAACTGCAAAGTGTACCAAATCACTAGCCCCGTTCACACGGCAATGTTTGGTCCGACGCTGCGCCGAAACAGATCCAGTCGAGCGTTCACACGTGCACATTTGCTCCGACGTAGCTCCACTAAAGAGCTTATACCGGACCAAATTTGATCCACCTCAGGGAGGTGGTTTAAAAATTTGCTCCAGAGCAAATGCTCGTTTGCGACGCTACGCCGGAACAAATGTGCACGTGTGAATGCAGCCGGGTTAAATTTGCTCCAGAGCAAATGCTCGCTTGCGGGGGAGTGGCCTCGCTACGCTCGCTATCAGGTGCACGGAATCCGACCCCGGTCGACAGTGACGAGGGGGCCAGCGACACAGACGAAGCCCGGCCGTGCACCCCCGTTCCCGGTAAAAGTGTCGGCGATTTAAGCGGTGAAGACAGCGCTCACGATCAAGAAGAGAATCGAGCCCGACCCGGCGGAGCCCGATTTGCAGGCCCGAGCCCGAAGCAAACCCGACATTTCATATTTTATTTGTGAGTATTTTTGGGAGAAAAAAAACACAAGATTTCTTACGGTTAAAATAATCTACATATTTTTATGAACATGATCAATGCATTTGCACAACGAAATAACGCTGAAATACAGAATAAGAGGCCAGACAAAGAGAAATCTCGATGCGCATTTGCTTAATTACGCAGAGAAATCCTGCGGCTTACT